TTTTTTTTTTTTTTTACTTTTATTGCTACATGTTTAAAGTACGTAATGGTTACATTCATTGTAGGGAGTTGGTACATGTCCATAACATATTTCAATCATTTTCCCCTTAGAAATGAAATTCTCAATTGTTGCTCTGAACATGGCCTATTTGGGTGAATATTTCTTGTGATTTTGAGATGCCTTGTACTATGTAGTTATTAGATGGAGTATTATGCAGTATCCAGCTAATCCCTGTGAAGTACAATATTATTGGTTTAACTGTCCCATTATAGATTTTTCTCCTTCCCTCAGCTACTAATTGCTGATGGAGTTGTTTTGACATCTTTAGACATAATTGCGGTTCAGTGATGTTTCTCTGAATGTTTGAGTTTTACCACATGTACTTCGATGGTCTGTTTAGTAGAATATGTATCAATGACTCTTCTTTTTAGAGAACTGGCTCATCTGATTACCATAATCATTGTTTATTTTGAGGTACAAATTGAATAATGTCAGATTAATATAGATTTTGCAGATTTGATTGTATCATTGAGAGAATTGTGTATCATTTTGCGTAGCTTTCTGTAAAATCTACCCTCATCAGTGTTACTGTCAGGAGCATTTCCACGTAAAGTTTGGGGAGAATCATTTCATAATTAAAGTATGACTGTAGCTTTGCCTTGGCCAAGAGCTGGATATGGCATGTAGAAACACAACTTCATTTTGCCCCTGGTCGCAGTTTAGCCCTCAATAGCCTGTGAAGCTGTGGCTCTCAATGGCAGGATGACACCAGCTGAAGACATCCTGATTTCTGGAGAGCCAAGTAGAATACAAAAGAGAAAGGTCTCATCTGGGGAGGGAGGAAATCCTTATTGGCTCAGCTCATCCCACCTCCTGAGGTGGGAATACTCTCCTTTCTGCTCTCACCTGCATGAGATCTGCATCTGCAGGGAATCAGACATGCAGTCACCTTGGGTCCCACAAGTCACCCCATACTCCCTCCAATTATTGTGTGTACCAAATAAATAGTGGCTAACTCAGAGAGTCTTTGTCTTTGCCCACTCTGAGTCACTGACCTCCCAGTCCCACATATACCTCATATACTTTGAAATTACACACAAGTCTCTATTGTCTTTTTCCTTTCCTTTTTTTTTTTTTTTTTTGTACCAGGGATTGAACTCAGTACCTTGTGCTAGCAAGGCAGCAGCTGTGCCACTGAACTAACCCTCCAACCCTCTATTGTCTTTTTTCTCTTCAGTCCTTGCCCTTCCCCTTTCTAGGTAGTCTGAGGATTGATTGCCCTCTCATATGTCAACATAAAAACCACTCCTGTTTAGGTGAGCTCAGTATTGGGAACATAATACTCATGTGTAGTCACTGATCAGCTCTGATACTTGTTCTCTCTCTCTTTGACCATCGAACCTGTCCTCCTGGTGGGCAATATAGTTTGACCAGTGCTTGCTTGCTGGGATCTGAGGGGGGGGCTCCTGTTTTCAACTGTGTTGCTTTGTTTATTGCTGTCCAGTGTGCAAATTATGTCTCCTGTTTTCATATATAAATTAATATGTGCATTCTTTTTGGGGGGGTACCGGAGAATCAAACTCAGATCCTTGTGCTTGCGAGGCAGGTGGTCAACCACTGAGCTAAATCCTTGGCCCTTAATATATGCTTTCTTGATGGTAACTTCATGTTTTAATTTTTTTTTTTTTGTACCAAGAATTGAATTCAGAATCTTGTATTTTTTGTCGTTGTTGTTTTGTTTTTCTTTTTGTTTTTTGTTTGTTTGTTTGTTTTTTGAGACAGGGTCTCACTATGTAGTTGAGACTGACCTGGAACTCACTATGTAGCCCAGGCTGGACTCGAACTCACAGTGATCCTTCTGCCTCAGCCTCCCGAGTGCTGCGATTACAGGTGTGCACCACCATGCCCAGCTGAACCTCGTATTTGTGAGCCAGGTGGCAGCACCACTGAGCTAAATCCCCAGCCCTTGTATTTGAATATTTTGCAATAAATTTTACTTTCATAATTGTTGGTGAGTTTTAACACTAGTGACAATGTGAATATCTGAGAATACTAAGAAAGTTTCTTCAGTGGACCTTGGGCAATGGGTGGGAGCATCCAGGTGATACCTGATCTGACTCAATCTGTCTTGTGCCATGCATGACCACTGTTCCACTTGGGAGACTTTTGTTAAATTCACCATGTATGGGTTATGTGAACAGTGTTCTTTTAGCTTCTTCCTTTGGAATTTTCAATATATGGTTATTATAGAAATCATAAGAGAACTATTTTTAGAGTTTTTATTTTCCTCTCATTATTGTTCACAAGTGCTGATATATAAATCAAGAGCCAAGTGCTTTCTCACCCATTCCATTGGTCTTGTGATTCAGAATTTTTCAAGTTTACTTGGAAAGAATAACATCTATCTCCAGGAATAATACCATGGTGTATTCTCTGGATATTGGAAAGAAGTCACTGGTCTACAGGTTTTGGTCAACTCTAAAGTCAAAGTAATGAATGTGGAGTTTATCAATTGATTCTCTGTTCTTACATATCTATATCCTTATTGTGTTATTTCATACTTCCATTATCTTTAGTGATTTTTTCTACTGATTTTCTCAAAAATTCTTGGTGCTTTATATTTATTCTGTGTTTTTTTCTGTTTGTTTGTTTGTTTGTTTTTTTGAGACAGGGTCTCACTGTATAGTTGAGACTGACCTGGTACTCACTATGTAGCCCAGGCTGGTCTCAAACTCACACTGATCCTCCTGCCTCAGCCTCCCAAGTGCTGGGATTACAGTCATGCACCACCATGCCCAGCCTGTGGTTTTTTTGTTTTTTGGTTTTGTTTTTTTTTTTTCAGTTAGATACACTGTAGTTATTTTTTTAGATTTGGGTTCATTGTACTTTGTTTCCTGTACAAAATCTTTATACTGTGTACACAGCAAATACTTTCTTGTCTTGTTTATATCTTATGGTTTTCATATATATTTTACTTTTTCCTTTTAATTCTTTTAGTTGATTATATTGAGGAACACCTTTTTTCACATTTAAAAAGGTATTTCACTATGAATTCTTAAGTCATTCAAGGTTATCTTTCCCATTTCATTATATAAGCTAATTATTTCATGTAGCATACTAGAGTATAAAATCTAAATTTCTAAATACATACTTGTTTCTCCCTGAACATAATGAAACAGACTGTGATTTCTTTTAGAGATGTATAACACCAGCTCTATCAAGAATCAATTTTCCACATATATGTGGACCCACTGAGGTCTGTCTTCCATTCCTGAGATCCATTTGTCATTTTCTTGACTAATTGTACAATCTTGAAAGGTGGAGTTTTAGTGTCATTCATGTATATTATGGAAGCTATCAAAATTCTTATTTAGAAAGTATTGAATGCCATTAGTATTTTATTATAGTGTACAGCTATAATTATTTTTTTATTTTATTGTTTTGGTATCAGGGATAAAACTTGGGGCCTTGCGCTTGCGAAGCATGTGGTAGAACCACTGAGCTAAATTCCCGGCCAGCTGTAATTATTTTTAACAAATCAAAAATGTCATTTGCAAATGACTTTTTTTTGTTGTTGTTTATAAATGTTCGTTTTTTTGTGGGGAGTTTGAGTTAGGATTGATCTTTGTATTTCAGAGCTTCAATCAATCTTACTATGTAGCTGAGGCTGCAGCAGCAGCTGCCTGCAGCAGCTTCCCAAGTTCTTGGATTATAGACATGTACTAACACACCTAGATGAAATTTTCCTCTTTTGCCTAATTACTTTGTGATGTACTGATTTTCAATGCTTACTACATTTTATTCATCTTCTTCCCCTCATATGCACCTAGCATTTCTTATATTTAAGCTCAAGGAGGCCACTTGGGGACACTGAGATTTAAGATGTTTTTCCAGCCTTTTCCTGTTTTCAGTGTTCATGGAGTTGTTCTAATAAAACTTTTTCCATGAAATTTTAATTATTACTCATATGCCATATTTGATATTCAGTTATTTTTCTTATGAAACCAAATTCAAATTTAAAAATGCTGCTTAAGTAAAATCAAACAAGGAGGGACTTAACACCATAGAAAGATTTGAAAAGAGATGTTACCTATGGACTATCAAAGCCATACATTAGATATTCATCAGCCCCAGTGTTTAGTGGATAGTGATCTTGTAGGCTTCTTCTATGAGCTTCGCTGTAGAGACAGTTAAAAGATACCCTTGCAGTGACCTAGCAAAATAACCAGTGCTTGTATTTTGCTGTTTCATTAGCATTGCTGTGTGAAAAAAAAATGAATGTATGCTTGAAAATGATAAGACTTGGAATTAATATTTGTTACTAATATCGGAAGGATTCAACCTCCATTCAGCTTATGTTTTGTTTTGTCTTGTTTTATTGAGACACAGTCTTACTACGTAGTTCAGGCAGGATGTGAACTCACTGTGTAGCCCACACAGGTCTTGAACTCATAGCAGTGCTCCTGCCTCACTCTCCTGAGTACAGGGGAGTACACGTTTGCACCACCATAGCTCTGAATTCAATTTTTTTATGACAGCTGAGGTATCCTATACTGTGAGTCTCAACTTTCCTTTGAGAAATATCTCTGATGTTTAGGAAGAAGTGACCTTTGAGGATGTGACTGTGAACTTCACCATGGAGGAGTGGGCTTTGCTGTATCCATCCCAAAAGAAGCTCTACAGAGATGTGATGGGGGAAACCTTTAGGAACATAGCTGCTATAGGTAAGGATGACATCTCTTTCCCATCTATATAATCAGAGAGTATTACTTATTGCTCATCAGTGCTGTCTCATTGGAAAGAAAGAAAATATTCTGAAGAATATCACAGGCCTGGTTACATTATATCATGAATCCAATTGAAATCTTAATTTTTATGTAATAATATACTGACTGCTTATATTTCTATGTCTACAACTCAGGAAGAATGTGGAATAACCAGGAAGTTGAAGAAGACTACAGAAATTACTGGAGAAATCTGAGGTAATTTACATTCGCAAGGACAAAGAATGTTCCTCGAGGGTAGGGGATGTAGCTCAGTGGCATAGTGCCTGCCTGACAAGCACAAGATCCTGAGTTTGATCCCCAGTACCAAAAAAAGAATGTTTCTCAATACTCAGTGTGTGAGCAGAAAATCAAGGAAATGAGGCAAGTTCAATTTAATGTAACACATGTTCTCCAAAGATGTGTACAGCTTGAGTAGGTATAATCTGACAATTTAACTATAAAAATATATGAAATTGCATTTAGGAATTATATATAGGTATATATGTAAAAATAAACTTTGAATTTTGACAGGAACCCATCTTCGAGATAATTGTTCACATATACATGTGAATTTGAGATAATCTGCTACCTGAAAATTGCTAACCTTGAAGGAGTATTGAAAGTACAGATGAATGCTAGTGTTGTAATAGGTGTTTTGCACATGTGCTGCAAAGAATTGAGTCCATTCGTGATTGAAATTTCTTAGAAGGCACCCTCCAAAATTAGTGGTACAATGTTAAGTACAGCTACTATGATAAAGCAGTATACAGATGTCTTGGAAGCTGAAAATATAAGTTCCATTTGATCTAAGCATATGTGTCGAGTATATTCTTAAAAGAGTTAACATTATCATATCATACTGATATACGCATACTCATACTCAAAGCAGGCCAATTTTTAACAGCTAAGCCCTAGAATCGGTTTGATGTCCATCCCTGGGTGGATGCATGCATGAAGAAATTGTTGATATGCCGGTGATGGTACATTCTTGTCAGTCCAGCACTCTGGGGAGCAGATTCTGCAGCCTGTCAAGGTGAAGCTCAGCCTGAGCCACTTACTCATCAATGAGGATCTCTCAGAATGAGAAATGAAGCAGCTAGAGATTTTTTTCTAAGACCTCTTGTTAGCAAGGAAAAGAAATAGAAAATGGACTACATAGTTAACCAGAAAGATGAATGATATCATGTCATTTGCTAAAAGAAATAGGTGGATTTTTATCACATCCTGTTAAGTGAAATAACTCAGGCATAAAATGTGACGTGTCACATGGTTTCTCTTCTGTGACAAACCGAAAAGTATAAATTGGTGAGTAAAATAAAGGTGATTTTTTAAAAAAAGGGATAGCTGGTGTTTTGGAGATGAGAAAGACAAGAAGGGTAAGGAGAGAAGGAAGAGAGGGACCTGGGAAAGGTATTAAAATGATCTGTATGTGGTATAACTATTGTGAGTTGCAGAATATGAAGCTAAATGTTGGAAAATATACCAAGTTTGAAATTTCTACATGAATACCCCTGTTGTGGGAATGGGTGTTTTGAAGATTTCCTTCAAGGCATCCTGTTGATTCATTGTGTAAATTTCTTAGCAGGCATCAAACAGAATTTCTGGTAAATCATTAACATGGAGACCCAATTATTGTGACTTTTTCTTTACAGAAATGAAGAAGTAGAGAAATGCTATCAGTATAAAGCTTGGAATCAATACGAAGAAACGTTCCTTTGTACTCCAGTTGCCAATGTGCACGGGAAACAAGCTGCTTCAACACCACCTGAAAGCCTTGCTTGTAGTGAGGCTCTGATTGGTCAGTGGTCACAAAATGTGCCCACCACGGCTCTCACTGTGCTGAAGCCATATAAATACTCGAGATCTGAAGAGAATTTCTGTAAATGTGTTCAACATGGAAGAAACTGCAGTGATTTCCAATCTTTTCAGAATGATAGAAGGACAAAGGCTGGAGAGAAAACCTGTGAATGTGATCAGTGTAGGAAAATCTACTATGGTCTTAGTGAAAGAACTCATCATAGAGAGAAGGCCTTTGTATGTAAGAAAAATTCGAAAGCTTCTGGCACACACAGTGATGTTGAGATCCATGAAAAAAATCACAGTGCTCAGAAATCCTATGTATGTGAGCAATGTGGGAAAGCTTTCAGCACATATAAATATGTTAAAATACACAAAAGATTTCACACTGGGGATAAACCCTATGTATGTAAGCAGTGTGGGAAAGCTTTCAGCACAAGCAGTAATTGTAGAGCACATGAAAGAGTTCACACAGGGGACAAACCCTATGTATGTAAGAAATGTGGGAAAGCTTTCAGAACAAACAGTTATTGTAGAATACATGAAAGAATTCATACTGGGGAGAAACCTTATGCATGTAAGCAGTGTGCAAAAGCTTTCAGCACACTTCGCGTTTGTTGAAGACATGAAAGACTTCACACTGGGGAAAGACCCTTTGTCTGTAAGCACTGTGGGAAGTCTTTCACTAGAAAAAGTGCTTGTCAAACACATGAAAAAATTCACAGTGGGGAAAAACCTTATGTCTGTAAACAATGTGGGAGAGCTTTTACCACACGTAGATTTTGTCAAATACATGAAAGAGCTCACACAGGGGAGAAACCTTATATATGTAAACAATGTGGGAGAGCTTTTACCACACGTAGATTTTGTCAACTACATGAGAGGACTCACACTGGGGAAAAACCCTATTTATGTATGAAATGTGGGAAAGCTTTCACCACACATAGATTTTGTCAAATCCATGAAAGAGCTCACACAGGGGAGAAACCTTATATATGTAAACAATGTGGGAAAGGTTTCAGCAGAAGCAGTTATTGCCAAAAACATGAAAGAGCTCATACTAGGGTGAAGCCTCATATATATAAGCAATATGGGAATGCTTTCATCACACATGGTGATTATCAAAGACATGAAAGTCCTCTTACTGGGTTTTGATCATAAGTAAGCAATGCGAAAATGTTCTGCACATATGATTGCTAAATATATGAAAAACTCACCCATGAGTATATAAGTAATGTGGGATATGAGTCAGTCCATACAAATTGTTAAAGTCATAAGGGAAGTCTTTCTGGGAAGAAGCTCCATATATGTGAGCCCGGTTTTAAAGTCCTGTGAAAAATTATCATGGAGACATGTAGAATTCATACAAGCAAATTTGATGTCAATATTTCTTTGCACAGGAGCATTGCCAGGAATTTGAGCCTGACCTGGCCTACAGAGGGAGTTGAGAGCCAGCCAGTACTACAGCAGGATGCCCTGCCTCAAAAATACAAACAAGGAGCTGGGGATTTAGCTCAGCGGTTCGGTGGCCTGCCTTGCAATTACAAGGACCTGAGTTCAGTCCCCAGTACCAAAAACAAAACAAAACAAAAAAACCACAAGCAAAAAAACTTTCTTTGCAAATCGCCCAGAAATACAAATCCTTGATGGAGATAGGCTAAAGTATATACATTGTGTGGTTTTTCAGTAAATCATTTATAATTTATAATTTCTAGATTATGTAACTAGGATTTCACATAAAAATTTTGAGTTCAAATAATTCTGTACTTTTGAGTGCCTTTGTGCTTAATCCATGGTATGGTGCCTTTTAATTGTACATGATGAATTAAAATGTGCTTTTTACTTTGAAATACAGTGTCTATATACTTATTGTTTTGTCTTTAAATTGGGAGGTATAGACCACAAAAAACTTAATTTTTTAAGTGGTGTTTTGTTAACTGTTTGGGTTTTGCCAGTATATTTGTTTCAGAGTTTTAGTGTATATACTTCATATGTTGTGTAACAAAAAATGATTTTGAATTTAATGCTATATTTTATATTAAGATAAACATTTTCTGACAATTATGAAATGTTTTTGACAAAGTGGAGTTGTTTTCACAGAACTTGTAGATTAGCAAATGTTATGTTTTTCATATTGTGACAAGATACCATCTTATATCGCAACATCATTGTATATTATGTGCAAAATGTTCCATGTTTTTCTTATTGGAGGCAATATCTTCATTTAGATAAATTTTTATGTTTTCTTACCATCTGAATTTTACTTTCATGTTTATATTGCAATGACTTTTAATTTGGTGTTAATTTTTCCACCACATGTAACAAAAGTAAACCATACTCTTGTGTGTTTTTGATTGCCACAGACCAGCAGAACCATAAGTTGTCTCCAAAAGGATATCGTGAATTACAGTAATGTCTCCTGAAAGTGTGAACAAGGATATGATTTATCAGTAACAAGACTTCCAAAGGAATTTTTATCAGCAGTGGAGCAGTTGTAAGGAGTGTTGTTGTTATTGAATGTACAAGGTAAATGCCTTTAATCTATTTCTTGACACTGTGATGCCAGTCTATCTTTTGTAATTATTTAGCCTAATAAATTGATCTAATGGCATGAAGGAAAATCTAACTCATGAGGTATCAGTCAATTTGGTAAAAAGTATATTTACTAAGTTATAATTCAGGTTGTGTTTACCAATTTTTGAGATAAATTTTTACAGTGACATTTCTCATTGTTCCTAAGGACCACTGTCTGATGTTTGTGGTATGTGACAATTGCCTTTACACACATACACTGGGCCAAGTTGTATGCATGGGGAGTGTAAAGAAGTTGGTCTTTTACCTGCACTTTTCACTCTCTTTAGAATTGACAGCATTTGTAAAATATTTTATATAGTGTTCATGAATACAAAAGCTGCTCAATTTCTGATGAGGTTACACTGTTAAAAAAAAAGTATCATGAAAACATAAGTGAGCAATGCATTATATACCCATAATGCAGTGAGATACCTTGCCCTAGCCTTAATTATGCTTAGACCCATAAATTACCAGTTATGTAATGTCATCTAAAACTGTATTTTTAACCTGAAATGTCTGATATAATTCAGGTAAAATAATACACTGCAGAATACACTGTCAGTGTTTACACCCTATAGCATGTGGCCAACTTCCATGCAGCACACATCTGCTTCTTACCATCACCAGAAGGATATGTAATGTGTATTGCTGTTGCAGCTAGTGGCAGAATATTGAAACTACAAGACATTTTGTCCTGAGCACATTTACTTTCCATTATTCTAAGTTGAAAATAATCTTACTGGACCTGCTGTCGCACACTTTTAATCCTAACAATTCAGGAGGCAGAAGTGGGAGGAAGAAAAGGTTGAGTCCAGCTTATTCAACTTAGTGAGACCTTTTCCCAAAATACATATGAAAGTTTGGGCCACGGATTTACCTCAGTGGCAGTGTGCCTGCCTTGCAAGAAAAGGTCCTGAGTTCAATCCCCAGTAATGGAGAAAAACCAAATATATATGGAAAAAACCCAAATACATATATATGTGTGTGTATATGACCTTTTGCTTGTGAGGCAGGTGTGTCAGCACTGAGCTAAATGCCGGGGCCCCTCAAAATTGTTTTAATCCTATCAGTTACACATTAGTGTTTGTCCTTTTTTCATTTCATCACTTCACAGTTTACCCCAAGCATCACTGGGGCAGCACATTTGTTTATGTACTGACTATCCTAAGCTTCTTTCAGGCAGGTGTCACTTTAACCAGTTGATTCTTATATTGAATGAATTTAATAAAATTGTCCTTTTATATTTCATGTTATCTAATAAAAACTAATAAAAAAACTAGGAAAACTTTGGTCATCTGATTGGACTGATGAGTGGTTTATATGTAAAGGTTTAAGGCAAATGTGATTTCTTTAGTCCTAGCTTCAGGAGACACTGAGACAGGATCATCATAATTTTGAAGCTAACTTTGGGGCGGGCACTTACTTAGAAAACTGAATAGTTGTCTTTGTACTGGTATTGAAGTTTAAGGAAAAATTTTGAAAAACATAAACCTAGGATATGGTACAAATAATATATCAATAATGCAAATAATGGGCTGCGGATTTGGCCCAATAGTTCTGCTGCCTGCCTTGTAAGTGCAAGACCCCAAGTTTGATCTCTAGTACAAAATAATAATAATAATAATAAATAATAATGAAGAGGAGGAGGAGGAGGAAGAAGAAAAATGCAAATTATTTTGTTGCTCAGGAAATAGTCTTTTCATGGAAATATATGTACAGCAATAATATATGTGCCTGTGTCAGAGTAAAGCATAACAACAGAAGATGAAAGAGCCAAACATTATATGTTCTAAATGTAGAGACATAAAAAAAGAAATTTTCTTAATATTTTGCTGGTGTTTTTGGTAGAAAGGGTAGGATGATACAGTAAACAAAAAGCATTATATAAAACTATAATTGCACAGACATGGAAAAAAAACAAAATCATGAAAAACTAACAAAAGAATGGGAAAAATTTTTCCCGATCCTCCCAAGATAACTAATATCTAAAAATAAAAAATAAAAAAATAAAACAGGAAAATTAAATGAGTACATACATCTCAGAATAAGTACAAATTCCCAATAAATATCTTTTCAAATGTTGATCATTTTTGCCCAATAGTGAAATGCAAATTAGAACTCAATTCACTTCAGAAAGAACACATCACTAAGGGCTCAAAAAAGAAAAAAAAAAAAAAGTTCATGAAGCTGCAGGGGAAAAGAAACCATTTAATATCGTTGGTGAGATTGTAAGTAGTTCAAACACTAGGAAAGTCAGTGTACAAAGTATTCAAAAACTAAAAGTAGTAATTTCATTCATTGTAGTGCTTTCTTTGGTGGATATCTTCCCCAAAGAGTGAAAGACATCGTATTTAAGTGATCTATGTATATTCCTGTTTACAGCAGCAATACTCACTTTTCCTGTTGGGCTGCAGCAGTGAGCCCTGCTCTGTCAGTCACCAGATACCAAGGATAAGCCACAAGTACCTTCAGTGTACGCCATTTAATAAATTATATGGAAGTGGTGTTCCCCGGTGCTGCACAACGTTGGATATGACCAGCTGATCTATCTGCTTCAAGTAAAGAGCAGGAAGGAGTCGTTTGAAGACCCTAGGCAGGGTGCTCACATCCACAGAGGAGATCTTGGCTTGCTCTACACGAGTTCATTGTAACTGCACTGAGCAAGGAAGAACGACAATATCGTCCTGAGACCATGTCAGCTTGTGCTGCTGTGGCAAGGAGCCATCGCTCCAATAGATGGTGGATCCTTTCTTGAAGAAAACCTGCTAACCTACAGTGGCAGATAGACTAATCTGAAAAGCCACAGCTTTGACTTCTTGTCCTCTTTGCTTAGGTGCCAAGGACTGCAGACTTTGTTGGTGGTCAAGGGCCTGCAGGACGGAGGGACAGCCACTTCCGCCAGCCTCCCCCTCCACCACACCACCCCCATGGCGCTCACCTCCACTGTCCCCTCCCTCTAGGAGTGTGCGTGGATTACTTCAAAGACCCGGTGACCACCGACTGCGGACGCAACTTCTGCTGTGACTGCTTAAGCACATGATGGGAACACCTGGCCGGCACCTCCCCCACCCCCATCTGCAGCTTCTACTACACCTGGAGCTTCCGCCAAAACCGCAACTCCGCAGCTTGACTGAGGCTGTGC